AACATAATAAGCCAACAAACTTGCCCTTCTAGAACCAAAAATAAACCAAAAAAATGCATCAACTATCATTAGCTTCAGAAAGTAATATGGTTCATTAATAATCATATATTATTTATTTATTCAATGTGAATGCATTCATATCTATGTGAGGGTTCATTTCTATCTCTATATGTCTAAGACAAACATATACTCATATTTCATAACACAAAAAAAGAAAACCTTGCTTGGAAATGCGTACCCGGCAGATCGGTTGCCCAAAGCGCTCTGGGTACTCGCCACCGGTAGCCCTCAAAGTTCCCATTGCCTGTAATACGAATAATGAAATCCTGATTAGTCATGCAAATAAATAATTTTGAATATTTTCCATATAACAGCGAACATTATTTATTGCATGTCAACATTTTGAAGTATTTTCCAGTAAATCAGAGCGATCTTCCAAAATTTAGATGTTTTTGCTTCCTTTCTTGTGCTAATTTTATATTCCAATAGAATTCAACTCTCCTTACACAAATTAGAATCAAATCTACAAAAACCCTCACTTAAATTCGTAAAAATCTCATCTTTAGGAAAATTATATACTTTAACCGCACGATCACACCAATCATACAAACAAAGTCGTAATTGAACACGGAAACAAAAATTTTATGTGCAAAATCACGAATTATACCGCGCTTCGGTCTCGGGGATGATTGAACCGGCAACGAGAGCCATATCCACAGAAACCAGTCCTCAAATAATGGATACAATCAGGCTCGTCGGGCCTCTCGGGGTACGATTGGGGCCCACCCTCTAGACCCAACTGCCACATGGGCTCTGCATTTTTCGAAATCAAACAACAAGTGAATCAAATTCCCTTCTGCATTACCAAAATCAAAGCTAATTGAACTGAAATTCAAGTGAAATTCAGATGAAATTCAAATGCAGAGAGAAAATATCAACCTTCGAGCCCGGTTTCACCACCAGGAGGAGCCCATTGCGCCACCGGATCCGACGGCGCCCCCTCCATTGTCTGACTTCCAGTGTACCTCTCCATTTTTGACACCTATACACACCTTTAGTATAATAATATATTTATATATAAATATACAAACAAAATTATATATGTATACAGATATAGAGAAAGAAATAAAGAAGGAAAGAAAATAAAGAGGAGTATGTGTGATCAAGTGTGTCGGGGGAGGGAGCTGAGGAAGAATGGTGTGATCGATGGTGTTTGGTGGTTTTAGAGAGAGAGTATTTTAGAGAGAGAACGAGAGAGGTTTACACACACTAATGAACATATACACAACACACTGTGTGTGGTTTCATTATTCTGTGGGGTGCCTTTTATAACTTTTCAATAAGGTATTTTTTGGACGTATATTTTTTTTTTGCTTTTTTTGCCTTTTAATTAATTTTTGGGATATTTTTTGCTTTTTAGTGTTTTTTAATTGATTATTTTTGTCTGTTTGTTAGTTTATTACGCGCCATATAGGCGTGCTTATAGACAGTTAAAGGGCAGTTCGGACATTGTTGGTGATAAAATGACAGTTTTGTCCCCACTCACTTTTGACATCTGCAGTTAAAATATTTTTGGAGAAAATTGCAATAATGGACCCTCATGTATTGTTCAATTAGTAAACTAGTCTTCAACCTCTAAAAGTTAACAAGTTTAATTCTCAAATTTTTCACCTTTACTGCAAAATTAGTCTCGTCATGTGAACATCATAAGTTCAACTTTTGGAGTTGAATTTTACTTCTAAATTTTGATTAGTATCTGAAAAATCAAAGCAAGACATTCTTTTATGAGGGTAGCGTGGTAATATAACGGAAATATATCATTGGAGACGAACTTGAAGATCAATTTCTTCTTTTTGAAAAAAATAAAGGACCAATTTTCTTTTGATCGGTTGAGTACTTTAGTACCAATTTTTTAATATTTAATATTATAACCTGAAAAAATAAAATGAAAATTTTTATTTCTAGTGTGAATCATCGACCTTTGCGATTTTATATGCATTGGTTTCTATTTTACCGCCAAGTGCACGAATGCATGTTCTCGCTTGAAAGTTATAAACACTCTAGATGTCTCGCATTTTTATTTTTATTTTCTTTCTTTTCTCAAACCCAAGTATTTTTAGGGTAATATGATCTTTCAAAAAGTGAGTTTCAAATTATCTATTTCCATCAAATGCTATCCTTTCATTACATTTAGTTGTTTCTCATTATAGTTTATCATGAATGACTCAATTAGGGATCGCAAAAATCCCGATCCACCCAAAACCTATAGGCCTTTGATTCAAATGGATAACAATTTCGTTCCTAGTCTTGTTGACTGGTCGAGTTTTCAAGGTCTCTACTATTTGTTATTCGTATCTCTCACACCAATGAAAGGGTATAGAAACAAGTATGTGTGTGTGACTCTCTCTATTCAGTTGCCATCCCTAACATTAGCTAATACTCAACATATAAATGCATTTAGACAAAAAAAAAAAGAGGTTGTACACCTAATAATATAATAGACAACATTATATTGATCTTATGATTTGAATAAGTAATTGTTGCCTAGCATATCCAAATGCACGAATCATACTTCTCCATCAAATTTATTAATCGACTTGTGATTCACTCTAGTAGAGTCTTGATAGACTTACAAAAGCTCTTATACAAATAAAATAATTGTTTTGATTGAACAAACTAATCATCTAAAATTGTCCTACAACAACTCCTAATACAAATTTCGAGAATTCATAGGAACTGTTTACTTATCCACTTCTCATTTATATATTTTATATATGAAACTATTTATAAACAGATCCCAGACAAACTCTAAGATATTCGTGCACCTCACAAGCAGTGTGTGTAAAAAGATCATCAATAAATCATCGAGGTAAAATAAAGTAATTTTGTTGCCGTTAAGATATGATGCATTTTAAACTAATCACCAAAACCAGTATGCATAGTATTTATTTTTAATTTTTATATTTAAGTGACGTGAGAACCTTTAATATTTTTGAGGGAAAGTCTGTAGCTATCACTGCAACAAACATTCTATCAGGCTCATCTGGTCTCTTAATGCAAGATTCAAGCCCATCCTCTAATCTCAACCGTTGTGTCAACTGAAAGTTTATTTATTTTTATATTGATTTTTTTTAATCTTGTTTCTTATTAAATTTTACCTTGCACAAATCCAATAAGATACTACTTGTAAATATAATAAATGTCTTTAGATAAATAAATGTTGAAAAGTAGCGATGTAATTCAATCAAGGTACTCGGTGCCTCACGTGCAACACGTCTTGCACGTTTTATATTTGTGAACGTCTTAGCTTCCATTTTCCGAGTACATGAAATATGCTTTTGGATATGAAGTTGACAAGCACTTGGAATATCTTGTCTCCTGTGATTTTTTTAAGTTTCTTTTCTTTTCCTTTCTTCAAGTATATTTAGAAGACATAGGACATTTCTATCTCTTTAATTTTCAAATGCTTTTTCATTATTATTATTAATTTTTTGTTCTTTCTTATTATATTTTACCAAACACCCGTTTCATAAATAAAATTGAATTGTATAATTGAAGAGATTCATGCTCCTCACATGTAACATGCATAATAAGATGCATATCGTAGTTCTCTCATTAAATAACTTTAAGAATAAAGTAAAGTAATTTTGTTTTCCACAAGATTTAATGCATTAAATCTATAACAAAAATAAGTATGCACAGTATTTTAATTACTTTTATATTTAAGTGAGGTGAGATCGTCTCGACCTTCCTCTTCTCTCCCCCAAACACACGAGATTGGCTAACGATTAAACATAAAACATGTTTAGGAAGTGTTTATATTTTGTTTTAAATTATAAATTGATAAATTAAGTGGTGAATAAGTAAATATTACTTGTAGGTCTCTCCAAATGTGTGGATAAAATATGACTTAGTCTCTGTTTGGTAGAGATTAAAAATAAGATTTTTAGTAAATTTTAAAAGACGATGAAATGTGTTATTAAAAAATTGTGGGTCCCATAAATGTGTGATTAAAATGAGTTATTAACTTAGACTTAAATTAAAATTTCTACCCAATAGAAATTTATAAAAAGTTTCTAACCATGAGCCAAACATACCCTTTATGTATTCTTCATGTTGCATTTTACTCTTCAAAATTTTTTTAATTGAAGTTGACCTCATTATGAAAAATACGAAAATTTATACAAGGACATGCAATTTATTCCCATTTTACTTAATTATTCGGAAACTCTTCGAAATATCGTATTGTGAAACATCAAAATCAAACAAATCTAGCCTTTAGTATCCATCCTTCTTGATGTTAGCATTATAAGTAAATAAGTTAGTACCAAATTAAATAATTTATTTTGTTAATAAAATCTAAACATAAGTTAACTATTTGAAAGCACACAAACTTTATTGCCAAAATAAGTAATGTTCTATTAATAAATTAAAAAGTTACTTAAAGATGGTGTTAGTGATAATATTAATAAAAAGAAGGCATTGTACGAAAGGGTTTTTTTGGCATTTAATATTTGTAATTTATTGTTTTTATTCTTTTCCCTATAAAATAAAACTAAAACATGAAAGGATGGAATTAAAAAGGTGACGTAGACAGCTGAAGTACAAAGTCTTCATACCAACCAATTGGAGGCTATACGTACACGTCAAACCTCATAACTTTGAGATTTAGGAGGCGATATGTACACGTTAACAAGTATTATAGAATAAATTTTGTAACATGTTGTAATCGGTGACGGAGCCAGATGATTGATATCGGAGGAAATACACGAAAATGGATTTTCGATTGTAGCAAATTTTCATATTGACCTTTGACCCATTAAATGAATTAAAAAAAAGAAATTAAGTTTTAAAAAAACTTTACACTAAAAGGGCGAATTTATCCTTGAACTGTGACTGTTTGAATCTTAATTTTCTAACTGACCGACCAAAAAAGAAAATCGACGTACAGTCGCCTAAAAATTGTCCGATCAACCACCGGCCAACTACACCATCGTCGTAGTGAGCTAAATCGACGATCACGCATCTACACCGGAAAGAATACCGATTAGTTTTCTCGCACGGTATGAGTTCCAGTTGAAAATTTATTGAGCATGAGTATTCGGTAAGATTTAATTAGACAAATATTCGGTTTAATTAGATCATGAGCGTGAGTAGTGTTAGATTGTGGGTATGCTGGGTTGAAAAATGTGATATTTTTTGTAATTTTTGGATCTATGGCGTCGACAATGGTGATTTCCGACCAGAATCGCGAAAGACGGTGCCGTTAACAGTCGGTCCATGACTGTTAACAATCTAATTTTTTTAAAAAAAATATATTTAATTTTTATTTGTTTTTAATTTTTGTAATTAATTTAATTTTTTATTTGATTAGTAATTATGTTATTTTTTTTTATAATTGTCTTTTATTTATATAATTTAATAATTGAATATTATCTTTAATTAACAATTTTGTGTTGTTCCTTTTTTTTTAATGAAATAATCTTTAATTTTTTTCAAATTTATTTAAATAATATAAATATGCTTTACATTTTTTTAAAATGTATTTAATTTGAAATTTTTTGTTTATAAATATATTTTCCAAATGATTACAAGATTAATTTTCTTTATAATTAATTTATTTTAATTTGATTAAATAATAATTATGTTATTTATTTATTTAATTTTTATAATTGCCTTTTTTATATAATTTAATAATTGAATAGATAATGTTGTCCGAAATTAACAATTTTTTTTCATTTTATTGTTCTTTTACCTTTGATTTTGTTTCGAATTTATTTAAATAATATTTATATTCTTTAACTTTTTTGAAAATGTATTTAAGTTGATTTTTTTAAATATATTTTCCAAATATAATATTTGTGATTAATTTTCTTTATAACTAATTTATTTTAATGCGTATTGTATGATAGTTAGAATTCGGTTCCTTGATTTTGTGAGGTTATACTTTCTTTTGTTATCTGTTGTTCAATGCTCTAACATTTGAATTTTTGCAGAATGGAGTATCATTTAGATGGGGAGTTGAGACAGATAGTGGGAAAGGCTACTTGGAACAGTAGTTTTGAGAGTTTTATTGCTGTGTTGGAGCTGCTCGATGATTAGCACAGAGATATGCTAGACAGTCCTTCTTATGGCCACTGTACCAGTTGCGAGAGGTGCAGTACTCAAGACAGATCATCGATGCACTTCTATGTCGGCTTCTGAGGTCAGTCGACGACAATTCCCTCCAGTTCGACCTCGGGGGCAAGGTCGTCAGTTTCTCCACATTTGAGTTTACATTGATCACTGGACTAA